TTAACCCTGGCTACAACACAGCCTATTCCTGCTCTCCTGAGTTAACCAATGTTGACTCTCCCTACGCTTAAGCCAGACTGCTCATGTCCTCCGCACAGTTCCACTAACTACAGACCACGATAATGCTCTCTCCAGGACCCTAACGTAACAGGTCCTGGCTCCAAAGTAACCTATATCAATGGCCCTCGAATCGGGCAAACTCTATCTCCTCTTCTGACCTTTCCACCGGACCTTATATAATGTCCTGTCCGTGGTTTTTCACCCGACCTCTCTAACCAGACTCACGTGCCCCTACTCACACCTTTGGCAGCTGGTCTTATCTCCCACTAAAGCTTCATTGTCCCGAGTCCAGGTGTTACGACTATTCATCTTTTTACCAAAGCTTCCTGTCTGATGACCTCTGAATCCATAGTTTGTTAGAGCTCACATCTATCTTTGACTCTCTATCTACACAAAGGGTTTACGTCTGAGTTCTCCTAGAACCATTGTCTCTCCTCCAGAGTGACATATTTCTCGTCCGTCCAGGTGAGGTCCAACCCACAATCTCCATTGTATTCGCTTTCTCTAACTTTCCCTAACCACAGACCAGAACTGGATGTTCCACTTCCACTGCCTTATTACACAATACTGCCTTATTACACAATACTGCCTTATTACACAATACTATCCAAAATCTATTAAATAATCACCGCTTACTCTAATAATAACTCTTATAATAACTGATGTGACAAAGTAAACATGTCTTGCCCCTATTTTGAAGATCTATATTCTATACCTCTATTAGAATATTGTCCAGAACATCAGAGCTTAAGTTTAACAATTTTAGGTTAAATTTGTCAAAGTCACTAAAAATGTGACAAAATTAACTTTTCATGCCCCAAAAATTTCAAGATAGTGTGTAAAAATTAGCATAGGCTGCTTTATTACCTATATAAATCAATCCAAACTACAAAAAAATATATGTTAATGTGATGAAGATTACCTAACTCTTATAATAACTGATGTGACAAAGTAAACATGTCTTGCCCCTAGATTTAGATTAATTTGTCAAAGACATTGAAAATGTGACAAAATTAACTTTTTCTGCCCCAACAGTATCAAGATAGTGTGTTAAAATTGGCATAGGATTTATTACAGGTATATTAAAGTATTAATCGATCCAAACTACGAAAAATATCTTTTAATCTGATGACGATTACCTAACTCTTATAATAACTGATGTGACAAAGTAAACATGTCTTGCCCCTATTTTGAAGAACTATACCTCTATTAGAATACCATGTAACCTTATCATCAAAAAAATTTCGATAAACTAGTTATTTTGCCAGCAAGGAGCTAACAGAGTTATAATAATTTTTTGTGACGAAATTACCCTATTTTTGACCATGTAGCGGTAGTTTAATTGTGACACTGTTAACATATTACCACCTGATAATGATTTATGTGACTGGTGCATGGTACTAGCAGTGTTGTTTGATCCATAGTACGTATAAGATAAGGGGTTTAAGCTGGTATACCATTATTTGTTCAATTTCACACATGTTCAGATATCATCAAGATTATGTGACAAAATAAGCTTGGTTGTGCCTTCTGTGTTTTAATTCCTTACGACTATATGATATAATAACAATTCCCAGCACTTCCAGGCCATCAAATAAACTTACACTACTCAGCATTGCTTATCAGGGTGCCCTAAACATTCATCACATATTTTCTTTAATGTGTGACAGAGTAAACCTGAATGCACCATATAACGAAAAAAGTCGTCAAATATGTAGGTAATGGTCATATGTACCCATCCAATCAACTGGACACTCAAAAATTTGGTCAAAAACGGCAGCAAGGGGTTCATATTTACTCCGTCACATGTTTATAGTGTGACAATGTAACCATTTCCGTGCCAACCGTATTTAAGCGATATCTTATCACCTGATTAAGATATCGTTATGTGACAAAGTTAGCCTAGAGGATGAGACGATTATCCTAACCATCAAGGGTTTAAGTAATTCAATAGTGTGACAAAGTCAACTACACTGTGCCTTTTAATAGGGTCACTTATATTTACCAATATCCTCAAACTCAAATGAACGTGTCCATATATATATGTTATGTACTGTCATTAGTTCCTTAGATTGGAAAATCGGTTTTGTTGATTCTCTGGAGTGAAATTCTGCCCCAAGTATTTGGCAGCGATGTGGCCTTACTTGTCTATCACCAGTCTTCCTCAAGCTGATACATATAGAACACAGTTTAATGTGAGGTTTAGTTGATCTATTGGATATTTTACCTTTCTTGTTTATACTGCACTGGATTGGCCTGCTACGAGAACAAGTCGCTAAATGCTTCCGAGTCCCCAAATAAGATTCGGACACATTATAAGGTAAAATGTATTATACTCATATATAATACAATAATACCCTGGCTGCTTTGGGCCGCTCGTGATAATTCCCGACACCTTGCTGGAGGGAATTTGCGGCCCGAAGCAGCCAAGGTATTATTTCTTTAAATAATACGTTCCGGTTCCGATTGGAAGGGGTGTAATGTGATACATGCGCATGATACAATATAGTGTCTAATATATAGAACGCCAGTGTTATTTGTTTTAAAACTTGCCGCCAGCCAGTCTGAGTCTATGCTGATAATACCTTCGCTTCCCTTGCGGGGAAAATGTGCAAATTATCAGCTCTCTGTGTCCCCGAGTTTTAGTGGATATAATTCGCGAAGGTATTATAATACAGGGTAGGCCAAAAGTCAGTACCCATACGTTGGCCTTAATAGCTCAGTCACTGAGTACCCAATTGAAATAATTTTTCTGGTATGACTTACTACCACTGCACCACTGGTTCGAGGAATTTGTCAAATCAAAAAATATTCGTGTTCATTTTTTAACAATTAAGGTTCATTTTAGCATTTATTTGATAATTTGGATAGTTGGATTGAGCCAAATTTTATTGAATTGTGTTTAGCAATTCGAATTACGTTTTTCCTGAAAAAAGGAGAGTTGTAGCTTCTCATATTTCCGACATAGGAAGCATAACGAGGTTATTCATTACGTGTGATCAGGTGATAAGGTCACCCCGTTAACCACCCCGTTTAACTTTTTGTTTTATTAACTTTTGTTTTATTAAAATGCTTGATAACTTCGTCATTTCTGATCTGTTTCACATCATTTTTTTCAAATCACATGCAACATTCAATAATCTACCGTCTCTGAAAAAATTAGGCGTCCAGCATGTTCAGAAAAAACAATATAGGTGTTTTAATATTGAATGGGCGTGGTCTAAAATATTAGAATTTTCAAATTTTGGCGACAGAATCCTCGAACAAGTAGGTACAGTATGCCATCTGCAAAGCAACAACTCTCAAATATAAAACACAGCGGAGGTATAAGACCCAACGTATGGGTACTGACTTTTGGCCCACCCTGTATATAAAAGGCCCCTGACAATATCTTGCAGATAAGTTGGAGCCAATCCTAGTATGGATTTGTGAAATTTTGCAGTAAGATTTTGAATTCAATCCTCTTCTCTATATCCATTATCCAACCAGTAAAGATTGATCAGTTCATCCTCAAGATGGTAATGTTTATATTGCCTATCAACAGCTTTGGCTACGGCATTTTGTAGTAACTGGACCTGATAGGATACGTACAAGGATACAAGGATTCATTTATTGAGTTCCAAAAGTGGTAATCCTGAAATAAACATTGACATCATCGGCAAGTAATGGCCTCAAAAATTATGGTCCCTTCAAGATCAAAATCAACAATAATGTTTAAATTTAGATAAGTAGGAATAATAATTTTAGCCAGTCTCGCCTCTATACTCTCTACAAGCGCTGACTATCTTGATGTTCCTAATACTATGAAACTTGTCAGGCTCTGTAGTTCTTTTCAGTCTCAGTTCTTCTACAAGCTTTTTATAAGCTTTTCGTTCCGTGGCAGTCCTATCAGGGCAGATGTAAACTGAGCTGTTCCCCTCCTTTGAGCGTAGTGTACTGGTGTTTCTGATCACTGGTGTCGCATGGTCAGCACTGCTCAATGTGAACTTTACTGGTCTGGATACATTTTCTTTCGGAGCTCCAATACAGCAGCAGTCCCTGACTAAAGGCTTCTCACTAATTTCATTCAGAACCTCCTCAACGTTACTCAGCAGTTGCTCGTTCTCTGATTCTGATCGACCATAAATGATTGCGTTCTTGCTTCACTCAATCTGGTTTTCGTCTTTTTTAACTGCAGCGTGGATCTTCTTTTGGGCGCAAGCAGCATTGATGCTTTTTCTAACGACTGAAGAGTAGCTTTCATCTCCGTTTGCACGGTATTCTGCATTGATTCGAGCTGTTTGTTGCTTTTTTCAATAGCCTTATTCTGAAGATTGATGATAATACTCTGATCTGAAATCTTCTCACTTTTCAACTTGTCAATTTCTTCTTAGCCAGGTGATACTGAACTGGTCCAATATACAACAAACAGTTTCCAACCATTCGCATGGTTTCTCTTTCGTTACTGATCTCTTGTTCATCAAATTGCAAGATTGAATTTCCTCGTACATTTTCTTGTTGATTTCACTACAAATCTCGTCTAGAACACTCCCTGGCTTTTAATAGTAGGCACAAACATTACTAATGTTTTATGAGCGATTTCCACACCATCTCATTGAGCAATACTATATTAGACCGAAAGACTTTAATTTGAGTTTTAGAATTATTTATATTAGTTTTAGAATCATGTGCATTACCTGCAGATAGTATTTAAACGGGTGGGCGACAATTGACTCCCGACAATTGTCCCCCCGACAATTGACCCCCCCCCCCCCCCAACAATTATCCCCCCGACAATTGATTTAAAAACTTTTTTCTGTCGAAATGTTTCGTTTCATTGATTTGTCTTTTGAGAAGCTACCTAGCAACACAAAACGCTTGAAGAAGAGCGTAGATCGGAATCTACCTTCAGCAATGTGGAACTCTCCATAACACTCCATAACACCTTATAACTCAGGAATGAGCAGTATGAAACCAGATGTTCTGAGGAAAATGGTAACTGAGTCAAGAACAGGTTTATCGCCTCCTCTGATAAGCCGGGACAAGGGAAATGTCAGTGAAATGGACATTCTTTACAATCGGATTGACCAACAGGTATGTGGAAACACATTTCACGTTTGATAAGAGGCTTCACCCAGCTTCCGGGAAGTATTTGGCTGCTAATTATCTAATTTTAGTCAAATATTAAGTTACTGTAATTTATGACCTGGACATTATTTGTTTTACACTATACACATTAAATTTTGCCATTTCGTTTAGATCTCACATTTTAAGAGATAAAAATATTAATTTGTGAAATACGACAATTATTTTATTATTTTGTCAACTAATTATCCGGTTATTATTAATGATCCTGTATCAGATGTCTGCTTGTGTTACTACTCTTATTTATAGGTTTCAATATATATCACCTAGACCTTTTGAACCCTATACAGCCTTCCTTACTCCTAACTTGATATTTGATATAAATAACTTACGTCTATCACGTGCCAATATGTAGTTCAAATGAAGCAACACCTGAATAAGCACAACTCTAGTTTTTCGCTTGATTTACATGGAATATTGCAATAATCTTCAGTATGTTCGAACTACTCACAAAGCTGCTATTCACACTATCTAATACGTAAAGTAGTTCGAACTCTTGAATATAAATGTGTCTTGGTCGACTTATACCATCACAACTGCGTTATCTACATTCTTCGGAACAGCAACAGTCAACACTAACTGAAATATGATGGTAGTTAGAAAATAACTTTAAGATACAGTATACGGTAATATTGTGTTGATTTATTCACGATGCATTATATACCTTCAGTTACTAGTGTCATATTATGTAATCATATTATGTACACAAGATATTAAGATTACAAATATCAGTTTCTCGCGAATACACAACTCTTCATTTTCTGTTAATTTCTTGTTTCTCCCCCAACTAGCCACTATCTTTCCCCCTTCCGTCTGATTAATTTCAGGTTTCTTACATCTCTGATTAATTTCTTAACTTTTGCTTTCTAAATCTTCGTGAACATGTTTTAGACCTGAGCACATGATGACATGAAGGCACAAATTACGAAGATTAGCTAGAGTCACACTCAGAAACAATACAGAGTGTGCTAAACATCTTTTTTAACTAGCGGACATTTGACAAAATTGTAATGCGTCCCGCGCTAGAAAAGTTATTTCGCGCGTTAACGCGCGTTTCTGTTAACGTCCGTGTTGATATTGAGAATAACAAACTCTTACTCTAACTAAGCGTTGGCTTTTAAATTAAATACAATGATTTCACCGACTAGTGAGTATATTGCATGCATTCACTGAAGATCTCTTCAGGTTGAACTTATAAGTGTGTTGAAGCAGCGGCTCGATGAAATGACCAAACGGTGGGAAAGAAGCGAAGCAGAGCTCGAACAACAGGTCAGGCTTTATTATCCTTGTCAGAAAATCAGTTAATTAACTTAGTAGTTCTGAGTCAGTCATTAGATTTTCGCGGATGGCCCGGCCATATAAACTTTGACCGTGCTTCGAAATTCAACAGTTACTCTTGGAGAACTATCAACTGAGCTGTTGATTGTGAGAAATTTGCATCGACCCCTCTCGAATTAAAACACAGCTAACTACAGGAAATAGAACGAAGCAAGGTGCAACAATCCCATATCCAGATAGCAAAGAAATACTCGAACCTGGAGGTCCGCTGGCATCAACTGTCAGGGAATCACAATGAAATGATAGCTTTAAAGGTATGATACCCTGGTATCATCTCTTGGCATTTGGCAATCCTATGCTTCCCATTATGTGGGTATCTAATCATCATCTGTTTTTTCAGATACTTACGAAACTTTGCACAGACCTTCCCAAGCCCCCAAGGGTATGAATAAACGATTTTCGGTTGGAGACATTTTTTACCGTGGGGAAAACCCAGGAGACCCAATGACGTAACTGATCCTTTGCTTCTGAAGATCGTAGAGACTTCAAAATAGGCTTGAAAGAAGCTGCACATGCATCTTTATAGGAGTTCTTGATCAACATATGGCCTAAAATCCTTACTTTTCGAGAAATTCGCCGAAAACCATTTTGGGTGTGACGCTGAGCCCATTTTACTAACTTTTGATAGGATCATGATATAATTAGAGTTTTCGGATAGAGTGCAAAAGAACCGCATTGGCGAAAACTGATTTTGCGTTGCCCTTGTTAAAAAACTCATCTTCAACCGGAAATCAGTCATTCATAACATAAGGAAGGTCTGTGCAAAGTTTCAAGAGTATCTGAAGATTTGCCATGCAGGTAGATGTCCTTAAATGACTGGGCTATAATGAAGTTATCACAATTATCCTTCACTGCATTTTAGTGCTAGAAACATGTTTAACAACTTTTAAAAAACGTATCTTCCCCAGGACGACTACAAAGATAAATGTAGGTTGCTAACTGAGCGATTAAAGAAACTTGAGGCTGGAGAGAGTGCTGCTTTGGCGGTCGAGCAGAGAAAATATCATGATCTTAAAAAACAAGTTTCTGATTTGAAGGAGTCACAGAGGAAACATGTCTCTCATGAAACTAGTTTGGTATGTGCTTTTGTGGTATTCGCAGTTTTATTTCTTGGAATCGTTGTTTTTTTTGCTTTTAGTACGCTAGTTATTGTATATGTTTGACCCCATTCTTTAGTATCTTTTAACCCATTATCCCTCCGCAGCAAGAGACAATCAAATCGCTAGAAAGTCAAGTTGAGTTGATGTTGGAGAAGGAAAACAAACTTCTAGAAGATTTCCAACATACTCAAATATATCACAAACAATCGGTGTCTCAGTTTGAGCTGAAGTTAGAGGATAATGACGCATCACTAGCTCAGAGCAAAAACCAGTACGTTTTAAATTGTTATGTTGCAGATTTAACTTCTTCTCGTTTATCTTCTGCTTTATCTTTAAATAGCCTAGATAAAATCAACCCAATTGTTAAAAAAGTACATTGATTGCATTGAGTTATAATGTACAAGTTAATTTCTTTAGCCTTGTTTAAATCATCTATGTTTTTAAGGAATGAACAGATGAAGAGCCAGATATCGGATCTAACCCAGCAAATTATCATCAGAGGAAAACTTGTCCAGGTATTTATAGAACTTATTCTAGAACATCACTGGATTACACTAGAAAAATCGTTAAATATCTTGTGTGAACGTTAAATATCGTGTGTGAACTTTTATGAAATTTAGTCCTTTGCAATCAAGAAGAAATATTTTGATGGCGAAATCTTAGTACCGCATAAAAACCTAACAAGGATATCAGAAGTAACACTGTTACTAAAACCTTTCTGTAGCTTACACCTTAAACTAACACCTTTTTGTCCTAGGATAAAGACGACAACGTGAAGAAACTACAGTCCGACAAGAAAAGGGTTGATGAGAAAAACAAGAAGTTAGCTAAAGAGTTGGTGGATCTTACTGAAAGTGTCAACAGCAACAGAATTGTAAAGGATTTAAGGGAGAAGCTGATTGATGAGAAGGATAGGTGAGAGTGCGTTTTTAATTAATTAATTGTTTAAATGTAACGATGAAAAATGTTGTTCATCATTCAATTTAGAAAGATCACGAGGAAGTAGTACCTCAATTTCTGCCACCTCGAGTTCTATACTGAGCCAGTATCCACATCTTTAAACTTTATTTGCCTGTTATTCTAGGTTCAAGAGACTGGAGATGGAGCTGGAACTGTTTAAAACGGCAGCCAAAGAGCAGCTAATGAAAGAGCAATCTGTCAACAAGCAACTTCGACACGTTTCCCTAGATCGAGCATAGAAGTGAAAGTGAAAGTGATCGAGCATAGAAGTGAAACTTTCAATCAGTGAATTTGAGATTTGACTTCATCCACCGGTCGGTGATATCATAATACAAATGATGATTCTTACATAATCCAACAAAGAGACTCGTGGCCTTGAACTACAACAGTAGATTTTACTATCAGATGTTTTACTATCAACAAGTTAGCTACTTAAACAAATTGAGACAAACTCGGAAGCAAGGTAAATTCTGCGCAAGTTTTCTGTCTCGATATTGACTGTTCATGTTGAGCTAGTATCTAAGCTGGTTAATGTTTCGGTCGGCATCTTTTTTAAAGCAGTTCCAGACTCCAGAAGAATCAGAGAATTAAAATTGTGACTGTGGTATAACTATAATCAAAAGTTACAATGTTTAGTCACGGTAAGATTTTATTTAGTTTGAGATTTTTTGGGTTTATTTATATAACTTTCGTACATCAGATAATTTTACATGATTTCCCATTGTATAGACAGAAAATGTACATATAATATGTATCAATCAGATTACTATTTGTAAAATGTATATTTATAAATTGAATCTATTTACAATTAACCTCGTTGCGATGCATTATTTGTGCCACATTCGCCCTGCAAACTAATACCTTCGTTTGTAAATGAAATAGAGTTTAATTTTGTATTTTAATTGTTATATAGAATTTATATTGTTATATAGAATTTAATCACGATATATCATCTAAATTACCGTTGATGTCCATCATGATAAACAATTATTCCTATAATCCAGCAATGTCCCGCCGGAGTGCTCGTGAACCAAAGAAAGTAGTGTATGAGGACTTCGTGGACTATGACGAGTTTGACGAAGATAAGCCTTCAAGGGGCAGGAGGAAATCAACCGGACGCAAACCTGCCAAAGTACCAGGTACCATAGGTATTTTATTAGGTGTCCAGATATAAGAGGGGCCAAGGTATCTTAATTCTTAGATGTCACTCGGTTACAGTTGGTATCTAGCTTCTTTAGTGTGTGCCATCACCTATTCTTCAGATTTGTTGATCCGTAACTACTTAATCCACAAAGCTTCAGAAGATACATTAAGGACACCAACCCGTCAATAAGTTTATTCCGCAGACTGTGCGCAGAACCTATACACCGTATAATACCACCGTATAATACCACCGGTATTATACACTGTATAATACCACCGGTATTATACAATATACACTGTGAAATACCACCGGTATTATACACTGTATAATACCACCGTCATTCCGCAGATTACGCAGAACTAAGCGGTTCAGACGAAGGAGATGGTGAGTACAAAGCAGCTCCAGCTCGTGGGAAGAAAAAGAGGACCCCTGCTAAACGGGGCAGAAGGAAAACTTCAGGTAACCGGTTGATTACGTAATTATGTACTTATGTAATCATGTAATTATGTTACAAGTCAATTAAGTAGAAAGCCCTAAAAATTAACTTTGATTGCTTTTTCCTTTTTTGTGATTAGTCTGATCACAAAGTTATGAAAGTCTTCTTCATAAGTAACAACTAACATGACAAGATGACTACTAATTTCCATCTCAGACTCACAAGGAACAGAGAACTCAGACGATGACTTTGAAGCACCCCGCTCAGCTCGAGGAAGAGGAGCTCGAGGTGGAAGAGGCAGGCGATCATCCTCCCGACGTAAATCCAGTAACTCAGTCCCCGAAGAGCCCTCAGATATTGCTGATGAAGATGAGCAGCCGGGTACCAGCACTGAGCCTCAGGCTGAAGAGAGCTTTTCACAGGAACCTGAAGTTGAGAAAGATGAAGGAATGGATGTGGAATCTGGAACTGGTGAGGAAGATAATATTGAAGCTGAACAATTGGCCAAGCAAAAACAGATTGAGGCAGAACAAACTGCTGAACAAGCGAGGCAAGAGGCTGAAAGGGCTGCTGAGCAAGAAAGACTTGAGGCTGCAGAACAAGCAAGACTTGAGGCTCAAAAAGCAACTGAACAAGCTAGACTAGATGCTGCAGAACAAGCAAGACTAGAAGCTCAAATAGCGCGCCTTCAGGCTGAAAGGAAGGCTGAAGAAGCTAGGATACATGCTGCAGAACAAGAAAGGCTTCAGGCTGAAAGGGCAGCTGAACAAGCTAGGATACAGGCTGCGGAACAAGCAAGGCTTCAGGCTGAAAGGGCAGCTGAACAAGCTAGGATACAGGCTGCAGAACAAGCAAGGCTTCAGTCTGAAAGAGCAGCTGAACAAGCTAGGATACAGTCTGCAGAACAAGCAAGGCTTCAGGCTGAAAGGGCAGCTGAACAAGCTAGGATACAGGCTGCAGAACAAGCAAGGTTTCAGGCTGAAAGAGCAGCTGAACAAGCTAGGATACAGGCTGCAGAACAAGCAAGGCTTCAGTCTGAAAGAGCAGCTGAACAAGCTAGGATACAGGCTGTAGAACAAGCACGATTAGAGGCTGTAGAACAAGCAAGACTAGAGGCTCAAAATGTAGCTGAAAATGTTCGGCTAGAGCTCAAAAGGCCGCTGAACAATCATGGCTAGAGGCTCAAAAAGCTGATGAGCTAAAAATGATAGAAAGCGAAAAGATTGCTGAGGAACAGCGAATACAGTTTTTAAGATTAGAGGAGCAAAAAAGGCTGGAAGCCGAAGCTGAAAAGGAAAGAGTAGCAAGGGAGCGGGACTTAGAAGAGGAGCAAAGACTTGTTGCAGAGCAAAGACTTGCTGAGCAGCACAGACTGGCTGTGGAGCAAAAGTTTGCCGAAGACCAAAAAATTGCTGAAGAACAAAAATTGGTTGCGGAGCAGAAAAGACTTGAAGAGCAAAGAATTGCTAAAGAGCATGAGTTGGCCGAAGAGGAAAGACTTGCTGAGGAGCAGAAATTGGGCGAGCAGACAATGGCTGAGGAGAAAACGGTGGCTGAAGAAGAGAGACCTGCTGACGATCAACAACTTTCAGCAGAAAAGGAAAATATTGCTGAAGAGGAACGTTTGGCTGAGGAACAGAAATTAGCCGAAAAAGGAAAACTTGTTGAAGAACAGCGATTAGCGGAGGAAAAACTTCTTGCTGAGGAACAACAACTTTCAGCAGAGAAAGAAAAACTAGCTGAAGAAGAACGTTTGGCGGAGGAACAAACGTTGGCCGAACATCAAGAAATTGAGGAAGGTCCTTCTGAGGAAGAGAAAATGGAAGTAGATGAGGTTGCCATGACTAACGGTACAGCCAACGGTAATGTTCACACTGACTTTGTGGCTAGAGAGGAAGCGAAAGTTCTTCAGGTTTAGTTGATATTTTAAGCATTCCTGATTCCTCTTTCTGTGTGCCATTTTCAATGGTCGATCATTGCTCAAATTAATTTATTCTCATATAGAATTTTAAAATTACTCGCAGCATGTTTTTATTGTCCAAGACCATACTACATACTTTTTTCTCCACTTGGACACATTTATAATCAGTGTTTGGATATCATCATCATTTTAGGAAGAGTTACCCCTGCTTGACGAATCATCTAGAGTTCACGACAACCAGTCATTCGAGTTCAATCACCAGGTTCTTTGAAGAAAAAAATTCCGTTTTTTGTTCTGTTTAAAAAATAATAACCAATCACGCGACGTACCGTTTCACTTTCTTCACCAAGAGATTAATGGCTTAACAAACAGTGAAACTATTCCACTTACCACTATAAAAACTAACCACGACCCCATAACTAAAACCAATATCACTACAGTCCCAACAAGAAGGAACGAACAAAAAGAAGAAAAAGAAGAAGAAACGTGGACAGCGTATGCGCGAGATGGCGGAAGAGGCAAAAGCGAAGATGTGTACCCCAGCCACACCCTCCGATCCAAACGTGGAGATTGATTGGAGAACCGAGGGACTCGAACGGAGTAACCCAACTTTCTACATTTTCAACAAGATATTTGAGAAGTTTAAATTGCCGGAGCCTGCCCCAGATACCCTGCCTTCTGTTGAGGCTCTCAAGCTGGCGGAGAAAGGTTTGTGCATTTTGAATATTTACTAAATTGATATATCATTAGTTTTTAATTATTGTTATTAGTAAGGAAGATTAACGTAATGTTAATTTATTCAAATTCATCGACAAATTATCATGATATCAATAAAAGAAAATAATTCAACAATCAATGACGCACAGAAATTGCGTTGACCAATGACAAATTGGAATTTGAGAAGCTATACATTTCTTCACTTGTATTGGTACAACTCCTTTCACAATAGTTTTCTAAAAGTGTGTTCTAGATGTGTATTGTATAATGATCACTTTAATGACCACTTTTCGTGATTAAGGAATTAAGACCAAGCCTTTGTTAAGGCCAGCCCTTTGTAGATGTTGAGAACCGTCTGTAGGTGTTGTTTATACTTTATCGTTAGGAGCTTTGAAGTTTAACTTATCTTGAATTATTAAATTTGCTCTTTTACACGAATGAGGAGAATATTCTGATATCTATTAAATATCAAGGCTGAAAAATTTGTCACAATTTATTGAAGGTTGTCATCTTCTTCTGTTGGCTATTTGTTCCGGCTACCTGTTCCGACTACCTGTTCCGGCTACATGTTCCGGCTACCTGTTTCGGTTACCTGTTCCGGCTACATATAGCGTAACGGTATTTTAGTGAACTATATTTTATCGTGCTACCGGAAGAATAATTACATCTTCTCTCGCCTTTAAAAACATTATCACTCCTTAATAGTGCATTTTTCACTGAATGGTATTATGCATTAAATCGTTATATTCAACATTTTTCAGAGAAAGCGAAAGAGGACGCAGCGAAGCCAAAAGAAGAAGCTCCTAAAGACAACCTAGGGTTGGACGATGATGATGACGATGACGACGATGACAAGGACGAAGCTTCTAAGATCAGCAGAAAGAAGTTACGGAAAATGAACCGTCTAACCGTTGCAGAGCTGAAGCAGGTACGTGACGTCATCACAAATCACAATATCACGTGACGTCATCACAATATCACGTGACGTCATTTCACCACGTGGCACATTATTTAGACAATTTTTGAAAGCAAGTTCAATTTTATTAGATTTATTACACGCAATTCTAAGACAAAAACCTAGGTCACTGAAAAAACCCCACTCACAAAGACTTTGTGATTTTAGTCATTTAAAAGTTGATTTAACACTACATAACTATTTCTCAACCATTCGGCTGAGAAAGCCACTAGAGAACACTCAACTTGCCCGCCTTGCGCTATACTATTATATACTATACTACTATTGTCTCTTTGTAGAACAATCCTCTCGAGTATCAGAACACTTTGTTGTTTTTTTTAATAATTTTTGGCGTTAAAAAAACATGCAACCTGTCGCCTCCACTAAAGGATAAGTTTTCGCAACTCTCAAATGCTTGCGGAGTTTTCCAATCTCCTCAATATATTCCAACTCTTCAAACTCATTTCTCCATTAAATCATTTCGCGAAAATTATCAAATTCAAGAAATCCGCGTGACGTTACTTCAAATCCAACCATAACCCCGTTATCTTCTCAGTTGGTAGGACGACCAGAGCTGGTGGAGATGCATGACGTCACAGCACGTGATCCCCGACTACTCCTCAACCTCAAGGCCACCCGGAATACCGTGCAAGTACCCCGACATTGGTGCTTCAAGAGAAAATACTTGCAGGTACATTCCTTAACGATGGGGTTTAAATTATGTTAAAACTCGCTGCTAGAAATCCGTCACAGTTCTCTAATTCAATATTTAGCAGTTGAGACCCCCTCAGATGACTCCCACCGTATAATAATAAGCATATTTTAACAGTACATTCTGTGATAGGGTGGATTACATTTTGTTTTCTCAGGGTAAGAGAGGTATTGAGAAACCTCCGTTTGATCTACCTGAGTTCATAAAGAAGACTGGTATCATGGAGATGAGAGAAACAGTCCAAAACCAGGTATGGTCCCTTATTACACTGACTAGTAAAACCAGGTATTAGTAGTATTAGTAGTATTATATTAGTCTTAAACTATTTTCAATTTTGTATTTTATTCATCTCCTTTTCACTCTGATACTGACCAATTAATGACAAATCGTGATAAAAAATTGTATAGTTTTTACATTTAAAAATTTTGTTTGTGAAACAATTGTTTTGTCCGATTGATTCAATCTTATTGTCTTTCAGGAGGGACAGAAAACCCTGAAAGCCCAGATGAGGGAACGAGTCCGACCTAAGCTGGGAAAGATGGACATCGACTACCAGAAACTCCACGATGCTTTCTTCAGGTACTGTTCAATCATTTTTATACTATTTACTCCTGTTAGATTAAGATATTGTAATGTATTGATAAATTTAATTTGATGTATTGCATGGCTTATATTTGTCTTTCTGTTGAATTTTCGAAACTTTTCCTGGAGATTATGTTGAATCTACAATTGGACATATCTCCGGGTTTATTTTAAGATTTCGAAGTTCAATCGGGGTAAATTGTTTGTCATTGACGATTGTTATTCATAATATGCTATTCTTACTCTATTTTTTGTTTTCCAATACTTTAAAAACCATCATTTGGGAACAAATGTTGAACCCGACTTCTTCAAGATTAGACTCCCTTTTGCTTCAAAAACTCTTCATACACTAAGTTGAATATATTCTTCATTGGCTTGATTGAAGAGGCAAAAGGAACTGTCATATCGTGAGAAGAAGCCGGGAAACTTTAGTCTGACATTGCTATCAGTTGACAAATTGCAGCTGATACGGGGCAGGGGTATCTGGTATTATGGGGCTGGGGCAGGGGTATCTGGTATTATGGGAGTGGGGCAGTGGGGCAGGGGTATCTGGTATTATGGGGCTGGGGCAGGGGTATCTGGTATTATGGGAGTGGGGCAGTGGGGTATTGCAATTCAGTGGGGTATTCAATATACGATGACACGATGCAGTTGGCACGTGGGTACTGGGGGCGGGACTAGGATGGGATTGTGGAATGTGGCTGTTGGATAAAAGACACTGAAGGTGAAGGTCTGGAGTGGAATGTGGTGGAATGTTATCTTGTGGGATGGAGAATGTCTTTGAACTTGAATTTATTTTCCCTGAGAACAAGATTTAATCAATTACCTTACAGATACAACTCTTGGCAGCTCGGGATCAATCATCTGCAATAATTACCAAGATTAAAATACCTTGTTCAAATAGTATTAGTTTGTTTTGAGCACCAATGTATGTCACTCATGTTTCAATCTTTTGGGGAGTACACTGAAGTGCAAGTGGGCCAGGGACAAAAGGATTTCGCGATTATTTTGGCCAAATTTCGCGATACCGCGAAATTTAACAGGCTATACATTAAACTATACATAAAATTTGTCGCGGAGAATGGGAAATTTCGCGATTTCGTACATGCCGCGAAATCCTTTTGTCCCTGAAGTGGGCCTAGTTAATACTGTGTTTGATATGTTCGGTGCAAATTTAAGATCCGCCCAGAAAGAAAAAGAGCAGTGAGCACATTTTTAACCCGCCATTTGATCAAGATTTTGTGTGAGAGTGCTTGGATGTGTGTCCTTGAATCTGTGACTTCTCGATTATTTCCAGTCAACATTCTCAATTTTTCAAAACGCAAACCCACCTTCAATCCACTAACCATATATTTATTTCCGCTGGAATGGGGAGCTGCCAAACGAAGGACGAGATACGTTTTCAACTCAATCCAGAGCCCAAAACCAATAAAAATGTTGGGTCTAAATATATCGCGAATTCTAAATTTAGTTATGTGCAAAAATAACTTAAAAATTAACTTGGTTTTGGACTCCGTGTGGTTTGTATTAATTCTGTGTATGTTTCGAGAGTACTGTTATCACGGTATACTTACGATTTGGAGAGGCTGATTCCAACCTTCAAGATACCCATATTTAGAACCCACATAATTCGGCCGTCTGAATGTCACGTGACTATCACTCACGTGACTAAAGTCCATCATCTGAATGAAGCCTCTTCAAATCACCATTTTAAGCTTCTGATAATATAATAATCCAGTATTTGATGCTGCTTCTCCGCACACCTTGTCTTTAAAAACACAGAAGAAGCAGCACAGGTATCGGATCACTTCCGATAGGGTTCATGTGTCCTCAAGAGCAGTGGCATCAGAGCAATTGCACGATGTTTTGAAGATAATAAAATTGAATAGTCATGAGTATGTAAGCAGCAAACGGTGAAACATTATGAACACGCTTTGTACACAAATTGCATTGGTTGATATACGTGCCAGTATTATACCTTACCAAGAAATTTTTGCGAATATATCCAAGGACTGACCACTGCACGTGCAAACACCACCGCCGCGCACCATCAAACCTCCACGTTCTTGTACGATGCGTGAACCCTGAACAAGCGCCTCCACGTGCAAATTGTCAGGTGGCAAACGAAACCCAAGACGACAATACACGGGGATCTGTACTACGAGGGTAAGGAGTTCGAGACGAAGTTGAGGGAGAAGAAACCTGGCAAGATAAGCGATGAGCTGAGGACAGCTCTTGGAATGCCCACCAACACTGACAAGGTTCAATTTTTTTTAAATAAATTAAAAAATTAAAAAAAACACTGACAAGGTTTTGATTTAGATGGCTGGACTTGTTTGGTTTAATACTTGAAGTTGATTAGTTTTTATTTAGTTTGAATAAGAAGTTCATTCTTATATTACTTCCAAGATGAACCTCTCTTTGTATAGAATTTTCTTTCAATCACATCTTGAACTGATGACTAAAGCCCGTTTTAACGCGTTATGTCTAACAACTCACCTCTCCAGATCCCTCCACCATGGCTGATAGCAATGCAGAGGTACGGACCTCCCCCCTCTTATCCTAACCTCAAGATACCTGGTCTCAACGCTCCTATTCCTCCAGACTGCTCCTTTGGGTATCATCCTGGTAGGGCTGCCAGTTTTTATTACATTCTAGGGGGGCCGAGGTTATTTGACATTTTCTCTAATGTTAAATCACCAGCAATCGACCCCCGGCCCCACCAATTTGCTTGATATAACGTTAATCATAGTTTATAATTTGTCGTCCACATTTTTAGATGCTTTGTGAAGGCCATGCTTATATATTATAATGAAGGTTGATTCAATTCCAACTATATCTGTTTTGATGCCGTCACTAATTCTGTGATTTCCTGTAAGGTGGTTGGGGTAAGCCCCCAGTTAACGAGCAAGGACAGCCTCTATACGGTGACGTGTTTGGTACAGACTACACTGGATACAAACAGGTACACTACTTAGTTTTACTCCATTAAGCTACTTTACAGAATGAAAACAAGTTCAATCATTATTTTTTATTAAGATCGCGAAACAGATTAGCAAATAATGCATATTGTTGCCGTGGTTCTTGTTTTCATTTAATCGCAAATAACCAACTTTATAAAAGTGCAAGTGATTCCGTTAGCACTGCCTTTTAATTTGCATAAAATAGCATGACTAAATATTATTATTTCCAGGATGAAGAACAAGAACCAACAGACGCTGCCCTTTGGGGAGCCCTTGAATCAGACAGTGAAAGTGAAAGTGAAGAAGAGAAAGAGGAAGAGAAACCAGATGAAGCCGGTATTGTCACACCAGCAGAAGGGTATGTGATTATTGAACTGACCAAGTGACCAAGCTGAACACTTGTTTTTCTCATTGCATCTGCTAAAGTGTGATTGCTCATTGCACCTTCAAGATCTGAACTTAAATAGTTAAAATGCCAACTATCATCAGTAAAATATAAATTGTTCGTTATCTACTTAAAACCAATTTATTTATATAACCCCCGATTTATTCCAGCCTGGAAACGCCCAGTGGTCTCCAATCAGTCTCAGCGGGTCTTGAAACCCCCGACATCATCGAGCTCCGTAAAACGAAGGAGGTTGAGTCAGGTCTGGAGTCTAGCGAGACAGGCCCTGCACTCTACACTATCCTTCCTCAGAAACAAGTGGAGGTAATTGAGAGATAATTGGGCAATTATGTAATTGATTCATTAGAGAATATTAAATTTAATTGTTAAATAATCAGGTAATTTGATCGATCAACAAGATAATTAATTGCCCGAGTATTCTAGTAATGATTAGGCTTCTTAGATTAAGAAGTTATATTAAGATTGATACTTAAATCTTAATATTATCCATTTCTTCTTTGGTCGATTAGATAATTTATATAATTGATTATCATTAATTAAATCAATTACTCACCCCCACCACTAACAGGTTGGTGACGGTATGATGGGAACCCAACACGTGTATGACGTATCAGCAGCCATTAAAGTACCTGGACCTGCTCCAATTAACACTGCTCCAAGTGGGGAGGCTAGTCAGAAGGTTCGTAGTTTTCTTCTTTCTTTTCTCTTCTTTCTTTTCTCTTCTTTCTTTTCTCTTCTTTCTTTTCTCTTCTTTCTTTTCTCTTCTTTCTTTTCTCTTCTTTCTTTTCTCTTCTTTCTCTTCTCTTCTTTCTTTTCAGATGTTGATTGAAATACTATTCCTCATTTAAATGCTGACTTAGTTTATATCGGGCTATATAGTATATATTGTATTACTATATCCTATCTTCGTCCAGCGAGTCGCCAAAAATCAATATCTTAGTTTAATACTTGAGTAAGATCGCATTTTTTTCGAGGATTCACCATGATCGTTCAATTCAACACCAAGAACTTATTGTTTAACGAAATTGTGCTCAAACCTCTGTTGACAATATTATTATCCTTGATGCCTATATAGTCGGAGTCACGTGCAATTTCACGTGCAATGTCACGTTATAACGCGATATTTTATACCTGTTCTTTAATTACTTGTTATATAATGTATTGAATGTGTTAAAAACCTTAACGTGTTCAACACACAGCTACTTGTAGTTGTAAATTCGCTTTATCCTCCGCAGTTTGAACGTTTTTTAGAACGTTCCAGAAATAATCCCAATGGTTAAGATTGAGATATCTGCGTTAAAAAGCATTGAATTTGAGTTATGTTATTTATACTGGCTTACATTAGAATGTCTCATTGGATCCATCTTTGAGTCTTCTCAAATGAGCTGATTGAGAGGATCAAAATCCACACACAAATTCCATCCACCATCGTTTTGCACGAAAAACTTGTCTCATACGATGAATTCATCTACTCAATAGTAATCATAGTTATAGCCAAATATTTTTAACAGACATTATTCTCACCTTGAGCTTTTCAGAGGGTTTATGATTTCCGCTTTGTCAACATTTTAAAATATTTTTAACGGAGTAGAACAACATTATTCTTAGTTTACCCTGACATTGAGCTCATAGAGTGATTACCAAGGGATAAATATGAGTACAGTTATACCCCGATTTACTGCACACACCGATTTACTACGGTTGTTTCCTTTCCCCCAACGCCGCGGTAAATCGTGGTTTTGCTACACTAATCATCGGCAAAACATCAACATAAACTAAAATTTATACAAATATGTTTATCTATATTTCCTAAAGAAGGAAGCTATCTTAGCAATAGCATGTTTTACGTAGAAATTCACAACAAAATTACCTTTTCCTCCAGAAACGAAAGTTGAAAGAACAGCAAGATGCGGCTAAAGCGAAGAAGTACAAAGAATTCAAGTTTTGAGCGTGCCAACGTGGTGGCCCACTTTGAGATGCTCAGTTTTTTCCTTTTTTTAGTTACTCCACATTCCGAGAGAAACACATTGCTTATCACATTGCCACTACTAACACTCTTATCGCTGATTAGACACCATTATTGCTGATTAATAATTGTCAAAATGGACACTGATAAGCAATGTATTAGCCAACTAATAACAAGTAAATGATATTGCGCTCCATTAACCTGCAACTTCATTACTTAATCACTGCTGCAGTTCTTTTAAAAGTGCGTTTTAAGAAAAAGCTTGCATTTTTACGTAGCCAGACTCTTTGATTTCAAATCTATTTATTTTTTAATTGATCTCATTTTACTCAATGTTTCATTGTTTCAAATACAAAATGCGTATCTAACCTGGTGGTATCAATTTAATTGGTTAAAACCTTTTGTAGAAGCTGAATAAACCTGGTTTTAAAGATCAACTTCACAGGATTAGCAAACACTGATCTAATTGGATAATTAACCAATTAGCTAATTAGTAATCTTCCTCTGTAGTATGACTAGACGATCAATGTCCCTAGACTATCCTCCTGACGACAGATATCACTCCCGACGACACCGACGACGAAAACGTACGTCTTCTTCTCGTCGGGACCGCTCTAGGAGCAGGTAACTAATAAATAATAATTGACATCGTATGTGATGTTGGGGAGTTATTTGACTATATTTCCGTGGAAATTGTTGTCGTTTGCACTTTGCTCCAACCGGGAGCGGGGCTAACGCCTTAGACAATAATATCACTATGGCAAACTTCCACTGAAAAATACTTGAAACCTGTAAAATACATGGAATGCTGTTCAGGGTAACAAATTGTTAGCAATAGCCACCTTTTTTTCAGCTTATGAAGCAAAAATTGCCCTGAAATACTATATTTCAGTGTTTTAGCGACTAGCGAAGGCATTAATCTTAAAAACAGAAAGCGTTATATGAAATTTGTCAGGGTTTCGTCGTCGCGGCGGGACGCCTCAAGGAAAAGACAACACAGCTCTGAACGCCGTAATGAGTCCAGAAGAAGGCCAAGGAGCAGTTCCCGGAAACGGCGGGAAAGCAGCTCGGGAAAACGACGGGAACATTCCCACGAAGGGAGGAAACGACGGAGGCATTCGTCACGTCGACGTAGTAAGTTCGTTTTAAACTTTAAGTGATTTTAAAAGACGTGTATGTTTTAAAATTGTGCTAGTTTTACTTCAAGTTGTGTCGGTTGTAACTAGTTGCCTGGCTGACGTTTTTCTATGAATTCCGGAATATGTTAATGTTTTAATACCCCTACCCTTGCAATGTATCCTATCATATAAATATGTATGCAATTCGCTCATGTACTTTGAGGAAATAATTTATCGCATAATATGAATAATTTATTGCATAATATGCTCATTTATTCTCATTTTTGTTTACTGCCTTTGTATTTCTTGTTCACACTTCATGCATAGTTTCCAAATTGGTACGGACGAATATTTTTCGGGAATGAACCGTGTTGTTTTCGTTTTTCGGGATCTTGTGGAATTTGGAATTATTCAGTAGTTTCAAAATAATTCTTGACATATCTGGAAATATTTATGAATCACAGTGAGTTGAGCATTTTTGTATTAATTGAGCTGGCTGCTGAAAGCTCAAGATCGCAATAGAATAACGTTAAAAATTCTAAATTTAGGGGCCAACTTTTCTCGGCCTCATAGGCACATAGCATTGTGCAGCTTCATCACCTCTGTAAATGTAGTTTTGACGGAAGATCGGAATATCTTAATAAAATTAGTAGGAGCCCTATGAAGTGTCAATTGAGATGCCAGTAACCGAGTAACTGAGTAATTGATATATTATATGATTTTACAAATATTTCCTGTTATAGTGTCCAAGGAATACACACAGACTTAAACACACACACACACACACTCACTATCACACAGACATACAATAACTAACGAGCAGTATGACTAAACAAATAAACCCGTAGCTTTGTTGCTATAACCGGTAACAGTGCTGTAAGTGGGTGTTTTCTAACGTGCCAGCTGTCAGCTGTTGATTTAGTTTAGTTGTAAATAACGTTGTTTTCGTTTTGGCATTCTTGAAAGTTATCTATGATGATCATTTGTGTTGACCTGTTGAAGGATAAAGTTCAACTGTTGAAAGATTAAACCACCGCATCATTCAAAGATCACTGGAAGGTTCAGAGTCCAACCCAGCGTACAAGTCAGATATACCCTGTGTTTGGTAATTAAGTTTTACTCGAGTGTAAAATATCTCAATATAAACCCAGTCTAGCCTCAGACCGACACCCTCACTTTAGTGCACTGCCTCAAACACGGGTATGTGGTGACGGGTATGTGGGCGATTGTGGCTAATGCTATGAGACAAGCTACACGTGGTATTACTACACGTGGTGTTCGCCATGAACCCCAAGTACCTGACCGTAATGATAGTGGGAGTATCCAATCTGATGGAATGTCCGAGGCATCTGCTAGATCACTACCATATTCAAGGATGAGCAACGGGAGTAAGAGTATATCGGCTGTTTCATTGCGAGATCTGGTTTTTTCTTATGATCATGCAGGAGGATCACCTCCAGAAAACAGTGGGGAAGCTCCTAAGATAAATTCCAGAAAAGTTCACGTGAAAAATTCCGAGAAAGTTCTATCGGAAGAGAACGGGAGAGGTCCACCAAAAAATGGACGCATGGTTTTTGTGATGGAAGACCAAGATAAAAACAATCCCTGCGACTCGTCAAAAGATGATTTCATCTCACACGATAAGGTTAAATCACGTGATAATGTACATACCCTTTCTGTGGAGACTCCTAAACTTCAAGGGGCTACAGAGAAGAAGTTGAGCAAAAGGGAGGAAGCTAAGGGAAAGGAGAAAACCGATAAATTCCACACCGCAAAATCATCTCACGGTACATACATTTTTTATTTATTTCTATTTTTATGAGTGAGTTAGTTGTCGGCGCGGGTTGTAAGGGTTTTTGATGATACAATAAATTTACTTTTCTCTATCAGTATCATAAAGGAAGCATAATATGAATAAACTGAATGCCACATGTTTAAAATAATGAGTCAGCGTAATAAAATCAAGTGCTCATAAGTTCAAGTTTCCGGCGCTCAGCAGTCTCTTGAAATTATGGTTTGTGCGGTATAGGGGACTAATTACGATTATTATGCATAATTATTTCAGTTTAATATTTTTTAAACGGTGTAACATCCTAGCTTTACCTAATAATATAATACTCAAATTTTTGTGATTGAGAAGTGTTGAAAGTAGTTAAATGGAATAAACTACAATATTTTCATTACTACCGACATGATAACCAATTGCTAAAAGGGGCCCTTACTCCCTACGTTACTTGTCTCGTTATTCAATGGTATTAGAAACAAGTTGAATAGTAGTTTAAATCGACTTTCGCACGTAAAATGCATTTGCCGATTTGATTGGTCATTGCTTAACTCTGATTGGTTAGTCGATGTTGTGTAATCTCATTGAATGACGGAACAGGTTCGGACAGTGGTGGTGGCTGGACCAGTGGTGAAGTTAAAAGGTACGATAATCGATATTGTGCACTGTTATTTAGGTAGTCTCGTCCGCTGATTCGTGATTATTTCAAGCTTCCGTTTGTATCTGATAAGGATGAAGTTCTCGTGAAGTGGCACGCGTCAGTCACGACTGTCAATATATCCAAACTCTCTGACTGCTCCTACTCCAAACAATGGATATTCGAACTTCTAGATTGTTCACTGTACTGGGTATTGAAATAGTAGCATATAATAAATATGCAATCTATTTTTAATCAGTACGTCAATAGATCACATTCCTCTCTGGATCATTCTAGAACTACATACCGCTCGTCCCGGAATATCACAGATCGTGTTTAATCTTTTTATGTCATGGGTGTAACTGTTGTAATATTGGAACGACAAAAATAACCGTGTGTAAATTCTACAAACTAAAATAACTTCAATTTACCTTCCTACCCTGCATAGCATTGTAATTTGTTACCTTTTTAACATTTTTGTCGTGCTTCTCATTCTCAACAAATGCTCACGTATTCATCATAATATCATTCTAATTATTAGTATTAACATTGCTTCTATAATTCGTAGCACAGTGTAATTGTGTATAACGTAAATCTTTCCCCTTTTGTTGTTATGCTCCTTTATAATGTACAGCTGGCAACTGTGCCATTCAATTTAGGGTCGTTGTCCCATGCTGACTCTCCTAGTGTTATACCGTTAAGTGTTAAGTGTTTCTTATTCGTATATCAAGTGTTGTTTTGTCAGCCAATTTCGGCTCCTTTTTATATTCCAGAGTCCAACTTTTCTCTGGAATATTCGCTGGTATTTTCTAACTGATATTGTTTGGTAAACATTAAACATGCTTAACAATAAGTTGATGAAGTGTTTTATTGGGCTGTACCCGGGGTTGTATCGTTTTGATCCTTGCAGCGACTTTGCCAAATCTAATGATACGTATAAGAAACTTAAAGAAGGTACGCGCTCCCTGAACATGGAATATTGTAGAATTTCAGCTATTTTAAGTCTTTATAATAGCGTGAATGCCAAGCTTGGAGCATGAATAAATCCATAACTTTCTCCTTGTATTAAACTAGTTTAAAAAGGCCGTGGCCCAATATTTCCTTGTGTTTGAACACGGCTATTTTCAGGCAGAGACAGATCTGGGTCAGATAAGAGAAGAGATAAGCGGAGATACCGTGATAAAGACAGGTATATTGTAAGAAATTTTGAAGTATGGTTATTTGAAGGAATCTTTGTAACACTCAAGTTCTAAATTTTCAACTAATCGCTGAACCCCTAAAGTTTAGTTATAGATTAATCCAGTTAAAGAATATCTGAGAAGGTATGTTCAAGTTACCACCCCGGTCCCAGGTCAGACGAGTCGGGTAAGCCCGTGAAGAACACAGAAGAAGGACATCTCATCTTCAAGAAATGTGATATGCTGCATGAGAGATACCAGATCAAGCGGGAGCTGGGGGAAGGGACGTTTGGGAAAGTTGTTTTGTGCAAAGATAAGGATAAATCAGGTCGGTTTGATATTTATTTTTAAATGTTTTGGAAACCAAATTTTTTGCACAGCCATGCGAACGATTAAAACCAATGGAAATTTTGTTGTTTCGAGCACACAAGAATGCTTTAAAAATTAAATTTATCTCTTCTATTTTACCTCTTTTACATCTTTAAGTTAACCTCTTTACCTCTTTAAATAAATCTCTTCTCCCCGTAGACTCCCGAGTGGCGGTAAAAGTAATCAGAAACGTTGAGAAGTACCGTGATGCTGCACAGATAGAAATAGACATCCTGGAGAAGATACGAAAAGCAGGAGGCTGCGAGGTGAGTTCAATTCTGACGTCATCAGTTATGACGTCACAGTTAATATATGACGTCACGTGTCAACCACTCGTTCAGGACTTGCTGACCAAACAGACAGGAAGTAATTCTGGGGAGGATCAGAGATGTTTAAATTCGCCGCCAGCCTGGACACAATGCGTGGAAATACCGGACAGTACACGCGGAAATACCGGACAGTACACGCGGAAATTTCTGGAATGTTGCCCCCCTGAAATTAGTAGTTAACATTTGCTGTAAATCCGAGTGTTGTAAGTTGTTATTTAAAGAGGGAGGTGTCGGTGAGTATTTAACAACTTGACAGTCTGCCTTCAAAGATTGACTTCCAATCAACTTTCTTGCCTAAATCTACACTAATTTAGCTCTCTGACAGCTTTGAGGGAAACCCGATGACAGTTTTGCACATCAAACGTGCATGAATTGAAAATAAACAACGTCCACCCAAAAAGCTGTCTAGATCAATGTAGGAATGTAGAAATGTAGGAATTAAACTGACCAACAAACCTGGTCTCCAAACAAACAACTTCTCGGGAAACACAAAAACCCCGAAAAAAAAGTAGAAAAACACGGCAAAATCTCAAACCTCAGGGATCAGTCGAGATGTTTGCCTCGTTCAACCACCACGGCCACGTTTGCATTGTTTTTGAGGTGCTGGGTGTGAGTATATTCGACTTTCTAAAGGACAACGGTTTCACTCCCTTTCCCTTGGGGCATATACAGAGGATGGCAGACGACGTTCTCACAGCCCTCTCGTTCCTTCATGGTAATTTCGCGACACGTGCAAATCGTGCAAATTGCGCGCTAGGCGTTTTGCAATGGGTAGAGTTGCACTTATAATTTCCTTATAAAACTGGTGTGATTTGTTACAAACTTTGTTGTAAGTTAGGGATCTAGAAATTCACTTTGGAGCTGATGCTTTTTTAGTTTATGAAAATTGAGAATTTTCGAAGGATTTTTGACTACTTATTTCTAAATGATTTCATGCAATATTCATAAACCTAACTTTGGGCTTGCATTTCCTTCACCAGCATTTCAAGGTTTGCCATGTTTAAATGAATTCTATCTGCTTCCTAATTAGTAATTACCCTCAGTTTAGTACAAGAATCACACAATTAATATTTAAACTGCTCAAAATATTTGGTAGTAGTGCATGAACCCTCTAACTATTATACGCCTCAATGTCCGCTAACGGATTGGTTATCACGTGAGGTAGCCCATATGCCCATATATGGTTATAACGTGACGCTTTCTTCTCAGGAATGAAGTACACGCACACTGACCTCAAGCCTGAAAACATTTTGTTTGTCGAGAGTGAATACGAGAGTGTTTATGATAAACACGCTGGTTTAACGGTCAGACGCGTGATAAACCCTCGAGTTAAGGTAGAAATAAATCACAATAAGATTAATTTATTAATTTGATTAAAATTTAAATTTAATGGTTAATTTCTTAACCATTTCTTTAGAATATTTTTCTAGCTTTTACTGTCTTATTCTATCGGACATTTTATTTGTTCTATGTTAAAGAAGTTGTAGGCTCTAGTATAGGCTAGCTTCTTATGTGATACAAAACTTATCAAATTTCCCACTCAGCTTATAGATTTTGGCAGCGCGACCCACGAAGGGGAACATCACAGTAGAATAGTCAGCACGCGTCATTACCGGGCTCCAGAGGTAATCATTACTTAATTAATTTATTAATTTATTGACTTAATTGATTGCTGTACTACATGAATCAATCTGTTTTAAGGTAACAAGAGGTATTATACACGAGACATTTTTAAACCGCTGTTTCTCTTACAATTTATTTCCATTGCATTACAATTTTTAGATATAACTTAATCAAATTATCAATAACTTCATTCCTTAGTTTTATTTCTTTTAATTTACAATTGCCTGCACAGGTGATAGCTGAAATTGGCTGGAGTTACCCTTGTGACTTGTGGAGTGTAGGGTGTATACTGTTTGAACTTTACACAGGTTTTAACATCAGTTTACTTACTACATGATTTATTTGAAAAGAGTATTATTTCATAAATTTATTTTTAATTTTTACTACTATTTAATTATTCTTTTCATCACAATAAATAAAAATGTTAACCATATAATTAGCAGTTGGTACTACTTCATTTTAAAATACCATTTGATTGATTAAATGTATAATTGATATTTAATTGATATTTAATTATTTCTAATTATTACAGGGCACACAATGTTTCAAACTCACGATAACGCAGAACACCTCGGAATGATGGAACACATTTTGGGTACAATTCCTGCCTCTATTTGTCAGAAAAGTAAAAAAAGATATTTCAAGGACGACAGGTATTTTGCTTGATGTGTTTTTTTTTGTTGCTTCATGTTTTTAATCGTTAGTTGGTGCACTTTAAGCTAACTGAACAACTGATTAATTTGATTGATCCAATTGGATCCCTCAAAATAATTAGTTTCTCGTATTGATTAGGTTAATTTTGAAATTAATTAATTAATTCCAGGTTAGATTTTGATAAAAGCGGATCCTCCGGGCGGTACATAAAGAAGTACTGCAAAAAGTTCGATAAATACCAGAGAGAAGAATCCACCGCACATGACGCCTTTTTCGGTTAGAATACTAGTTAAATAATTCAATTACAGTTTGTAAAAATCTTGTCAAGGTTGAGTGGATAAGCTGTTTAAACCTTTTGTTCTGAGATTGGGGTTGTGAGCTTATACCACGGTACGATTAGAATACTTTAAACTCTTTTTCATCAACAATTTAAAAAAGCGATATTCCAATACTAGCAACATTAGGTGCTATTTCGAACTCTACTAATTACTATTTATCTACTGCGATAATTTAACAGCAAAATTTAAAACCGTAACGCTTAACCTGTTATCAGCAATATCAAGCTCAACTGATCAACAATACATCAAACTCTATCTACAATATGAATAATACAGCAATATAACAATATAGACAGTACAATAACCGGTACCTACAATATCTCCTTTTTCAAACATCAGTGTGCTCCGTTTTAACAGTGTGCTCCGTATTCGGGGTACTATTCACAATCTTCCTAAATCCTCTCCCACCACCACCACCACCACCACCGCACCTTACACCCACCACCCTCGCATACTCCTGCACCTTTCCCACCGTCCACACCCTCATCTTCTTCATCCGCCACAAATACAGGACGGGGTTCAGCGCCGAGTTGATAGGAATGAGCAGGACACTGTAGAACTTGAAGAAGTACCAGTAGGGCCGGTCCCAGGAGCTGAGATCAGTGTCCAGGTTGGTGGTCTGGTTAATAATGGTGATGCAGTACATAATGACAGCTGGAATGTTACACACCATGTAGAGGGCAGTGAAGAGGATGATGGTGATGGTGACTGCTCTGTTAGCTCGGTTAAGTGCATTGTTGTCGGAGGGTTTCAGGGATCCTATGGTCAGGAAGCAGGATATCAGGATGGGGATGTTGGGGAAGTAGGTCTCGAAGAAGAATACCTGGATGTTGGAATAGTCAGTATTTCCCGCAATAAGACAACGAATGAGTTTCAAAAATTTCGAATTTAATCTTTACAACATTGGCCTTGGTAGAATATTGTCTTTCATCATCAGTACCTAATGAAGATCAGTAATCCAATAAATTAAAACTTAATTTATTTAAAAAACTTAAGTTATTTTAAAGTCTTAAAATTTAAAATAAGATAAGAACAACTCTAATTCACAACCTGAGTGTACACGTGATAAGCTGTGCTGTTCCCTAAGATGCTGTTCCGCCACGCGCAGTTCCCTGTAGTAGCCCACTCGTAATGGTAACTCTTCCCTATCCACATTGGTACTGTACTCTGTACAAACAGCACCAACAAGTACCCTAGCATCACACCGATAACCACGCCCTTTTGTAGCCTCCTGAATGGACACACTATCTGTAAAGCACGTGTGATGCTCAGTAGTGCCACCAGGAAGATGGTGGCAGTGGTGGAGATGTACCACATGGTACCCCACATGGTACAGAACACATCTGATGTCTCCAACAGGAACCCGTATCTGTCAGACAGTACGTAGGGTAGAGCTAAAGGCAGGACCAGTACGCTCACTGTTATATCCACTACGGAGATGAAGATGTAGATACTGGTGGGTATGTCACGTGGTTTGGAGAGGAAGTACCGGAGGGCTATAGTGTTGCCGGTGGTGCCGACCAGGAAGCAGGTTAGGATAGTGGTGAAGTAGAGGTAGTCCACTTCCGGGATTAAGGGGATTATTAAGTGGGGAGTGGTCGGTGGGAGCGGTTCTGTTGGCATGTTCTATATCCTGATAAAGATTGCGTTAGATAGTACTCAAGCATCAATATTAGTTTGATAAGTGTCAAGCTTGTGGGGGATGTTTTAGTCCCACGTCTCTACGCAAGTTCAAACGGGCTTGCGAGCTTGGTTATGATGTCCTAATCACACTGAAATCGCAAAAAAAAAACGGACCAATAATTGGACTATCGAATATTGGGTTATACTAATCTCACGGCTGGATACTGGAAATGCTGAGGAGTGGAAAGTGTGATCGAACGTACAAATGTTGCTTGTCCAAAATTATCAAATTCACTACACTAGACTAATAAGAAGAAACTTGACAGGGTGCTGTCATTGGCGTCGGTGAAGACTTCACCGACGAAGTTAAGATTTTTTTTTCTGGGTGCCACAGACCCACCCAATGGTGCTGACTTTTTTGGGTTAAAGACCCACTTTTCCATTGAATGTGGCTCGCTGGCTGAGCTGCGCTCGCAGTAACTTTTTTCGCAAATTTTTTAATCCAATTTTTTGAACTTTCCCTATCAACAATCTTAGAGATTGGACTAAATATTACATTCCATAATTTATGACTTGAAGTTGATGACCTTCTTCCGTCAGAATGATTATATGTACTATTCATATATATGCAATATTCCACCACATTTTGGTTGATAATTTGATTTCCAAAGTCCACTCATACATATGTGGAAAACTTACAAATACCCCTTAAAATGCTGGCTTTATACTTATAGTATAAAGATGTAGGTATAGGTCAGGGAGGTAGCCAGGTTTTTTAATCCAGCTGTGCAGCGAGCGAAGCGAGCAAGCTGTGGCAGGGGTCTGGGGGGCGCAGCCCCCTGGAAAATTTTTGCGAAACAGGGTGTTTTAGACGACATTTGGCATTAAAGAAATTTGTAGGACAGCAATAAACTGGGATTGAAAAGAATCAAGTACTCACGTACAGGTACGTAGCCAGGATTTTTCTTTGAGGGGAGCTGTCGGTGAGCGAAGCGAGCCGACATGTCCAATCCAGCTGCGCAGCGAGTGAAGCGAGCAAGCTGTGGCAGGGGTCTGGGGGCGCAGCCCCCAGCGAGGTCCAGGGGCAGAGCCCCTTGGCGGGGGCTAGGGGGGCGCAGCCCCCGGAAATTTTTTGCGAAACAGGGTGTTTTAGACGACATTTGGCATTAAAGAAATTTGTAGGACAGCAATAAACTGGGATTGAAAAGAATCAAGTACTCACGTACAGGTACGTAGCCAGGATTTTTCTTTGAGGGGAGCTGTCGGTGAGCGAAGCGAGCCGACATGTCCAATCCAGCTGCGCAGCGAGTGAAGCGAGCAAGCTGTGGCAGGGGTCTGGGGGCGCAGCCCCCAGCGAGGTCCAGGGGCAGAGCCCCTTGGCGGGGGCTAGGGGGGCGCAGCCCCCGGAAATTTTTTGCGAAACAGGGTGTTTTAGACGACATTTGGCATTAAAGAAATTTGTAGGACAGCAATAAACTGGGATTGAAAAGAATCAAGTACTCACGTAAAGTTGGTAACTTCACAACAGCAATCTGCATTCTCCAATCAGAATTTACGACTTACTCAGGCCTCATCGTCTTAAAATTTTTACATTTCCTACGGTCTAGGGGACACTATTGACTATTTATAGAAGTCTTCTAGAATGTTTGCTTGGATGTTATGACAGATATTTACTAATGACTAATCCACAGTTCAAATCTTTGACTGACTGCAGTCATAAACACAGCCCAGTTACCAGGCGACCATTGGGGAGTAGACACACAGTTGATAACAACAGACCTACTATCAATATCAACAGACCCACTATTTCATCTTACAGACCCACAAGTCAATCCACAGACCCATTTCAGAGTAGCAAAGACCCACTATTAAGCTAGTAGACACACACTTAATAAAAATAGGCCCACTATTTGACCTTAGAGACCCACTGCCAATAACAACAGACCCACTTTGTAACCTTACAGACCCACAAATAAATCTACAGACCCATTTCAGAGTAGCAAAGACCCACTATTAAGCGAGTAGACACACACTTAATAACAACAGACCCACGGCCACTATCAATATCAACAGGCCCACTATTTCATCTTACAGACCCACAAGTCAACCTACAGACCCATTTCAGAGTAGCAAAGACCCACTATTAAGCGAGTAGACACACACTTAATAACAACAGACCCACTATCAATATCAACAGGCCCACTATTTCATCTTACAGACCTTAAGTCAATCTACAGACCCATTTCAGAGTAGCAAAGACCCACTATTAAGCGAGTAGACACACACTTAATAACAACAGACCCACTATCAATATCAACAGACCCACTATTTCATCTTACAGACCCACAAGTCAATCTACAGACCCATTTCAGAGTAGCAAAGACCCACTATTAAGCGAGTAGACACACACTTAATAACAACAGACCCACTATCAATATCAACAGGCCCACTATTTCATCTTACAGACCGACAAGTCAATCTACAGACCCATTTCAGAGTAGCAAAGACCCACTATTAAGCGAGTAGACACACACTTAATAACAACAGACCCACTATCAATATCAACAGACCCACTATTCCACCTTATAGAGTATAGACCCATGTAAGTAAGTCTACACTATAATAAAACACATCCAAGCTATCAACAGGCCCACTATTTGAGCATGTACAGACCCTCATTAACCATGGTCAATTCAATCCTAACCTCACCCCCCCCCCCCCCCCCCCCCCTCCCAAGAAAATATGTTTTTTTTTTCGTTTCAGCCAATTTTAATTTTTCGATGAAAAAATTTGAGGCAAGGGTGCTGGCACCCTTGGCACCCTATAAAAAAAACCTTAGGTGAAGTCACTCTCAAATAGACAATCTCAAAATCCAAATTACAATAGTCCCATGCAATATGAGAACCTGGATGGTTTACTGTTGTAATGGGTTTGCAAGATATGAGCCAGACTAGTTGGGCAGTACCTTTAATGGCCATGCCGCGCAATTGTTTATATTTTCATCCTTTGTGAAAGCAGCCAGCTTGCGTCAGCCCGCCCGCTTTGCAAGAATAATTATGTGGGATTAATACAGCAATCCTAACAACTCTGATTACTCTGAGATGCTGATTTTAGTAAGGATAACCTTCATCTTTACTAAAAATCTAGTTCAATACCCAAGGTTAGGCTTGGTAACTTCATTAATTTGCCGAATGCCGATCCAGAATCTACGTTCAACTATTACCCAGAAATACAAATCAACAATGAAACGATTTGAACCTGCGAAAAGAAAATATATTAAAATAGTCTAACCTCTTCTATGCTAGAATCAAATAT